AAAAAAAAAAAAAAAAAACAAGGGCGGGTACGGGCAGTTACAGTCTGCAGAGGTTCAGGTTTGGGCGGGTACAGGTACCTGTTTTTTTTTTCCGGATCAGTTGGAGGTAGGTAAAGGTGCGGTAGGCCAGGTATACAGTGGTCATGGTTGGTTGGTTTTCGAAAAGTGTGTGGTTAGTTTAGTTACAGGTATTCCTAAAAATCCTGATTGCGAACTCTGTCGTCCATTGTCAAACCACCACGCTGCACATCGCTCGGTCTCGCGGTCCCCCCTGTAGAGGCAACTGATACCTCTGCTGGTTGTTCCCTTTTGCTACCTTGTAGTCAGGGCAATAAAGGACAATGTGGTCAGGGTCCCCACACTTGAGGCATTAGTAAGCTTTCTTCCTATCTTGTTAAACTTGCTCAGTTATCCCCAACTTTTTCCAAGGCTCCCCTTCTGGAAGACCTGGATGGGGCGGATAGGGCTTATCCCAGTTCTCGTGCCAAGCGCCCCTTCCTCTACCTCAGGTGAAATTAGAACCACGGCCACCTTGCGAGGGACCATTACCCCTTCCTCCCGCGTAGTAGCTACCTTCGCCACCATCCCTCTTGGTGCCGGATCCTCTTCCACCACGTCCGCGGCCTTCTCTTCCTCGGCCACGTTCTCGTCCTTGTCGCCCTCCCACGCGGGCTGCAACGGCCGTGGAGCTCCCCTCCTGAGTTACCGAACCGTTGGGTCCTTCCTCAAGACCATAGTCTACTTGGTCCCAAGAAAGTGTTTCGACACCTCCTTCTTCAAAGGTCAGAAGAAGGTTGTCTTTCCCAGGTATCGACCCTGAGATAGTGCGGTTTTGCCATTTTTCCACATCTTGCAGATCTTTCCAATAATGGCAATAATTGGCCTCAGCCAAGAAACCAACATGATCTATGGCGAATCGACGATCTTGCTGAACTTCTCGTAGGTCATCCCCTCTTCCTGTGTACGGGGATACAACTTAGTATGAAGGGGGTCGGGTAGTGCGCATGCAAAACTGTTCAGTATCTGAGCAGGGGTCAATCCATGTTCATTGCATTGCAGCAGTTCATCCATGGTTGCTTTAAGTGTAGAGGCGCTCTTCCATTTCTTGTCTGGGAGGTTCAGAACTAATATCTCAGTCCTGCGGGTCATGCTTTTGTCCTCAAACTGCTCTCGGATGACTGTAAAGAAATCTTCAATGCGGGTTTTCTGGGAATACTCTACCATGGATCCGCAACTTGCTTCCTTCTGCAGGGAGATTGTGAAACTCATGACATCTCTCACCATACAGGAACTTGCCATTAGCACCCTGTCCCAGTACGGAATGCGGTGTCTGTAGACAGACGACTCGACTGCTGCAATCCAGTGTAGTACACTTTGCTCTTTCTTACCATTATATGTCCATGAAATTTTAACCTCAATTTTATTGACCTGACAAACTTCATTTGGCAGCACCCCGTTTTGTTTTCTGTCTTTGTTTCCGTCTCCCCCGTCTCCATCTCTGTCTCCTCAGTCTCCTTTGCCGCCACCTATTACCTTTTGTAGCACGACGGAACCTGTCAATTTCTTAGCCAACTGCTCATCCAACTTCTGTATGCAGCTGAACATGTGCTGGTCAACTTCTTGCGTTGATCGCTGCAAAAAGTTGTTCCACACTCCCTCAAATACGAATTGGTGATTCTCTAACTTTTGCACAGACTTGGTCAACGCAGTGACTTGTTCATTGGTGTGAAGGAGAGTATTTGTAAGGAGGGTAAGGCGGTCATCCGCGGCCGCTTGTTGCTGTTTTTGTTCCTGTAATTCTCTCTGAAACTTTTCCCCCTCCTCGTTTAATCTCTTTTTCTCTTCAAATTCTTGTCTCTTTGCTGTCACCATCCTATTATTCAGTTTTGTTTTCCGTTCCGTTATCAAGAGATCTCTTTCTTTAGGATTTGTTACGATAGCTAGCTCTCTCCTCCTCGGACTCAACCACCATGACAGTCTTATATTCGAACTGTTCGAGCTAGTTCATGGGATCGAGCTCAATCGCAATACCACTACTGGTTTCCCCTCTTTCTGTACGATGCTTGTGCAATCCTTCACCTGGTTCACCATTTTCCTCTTCTTCTTCTTCTTCTTCTTCTTTTTCTTCTTCTTCTTCTTCTTCTTCTTCAACTGCCTTTAGCTCTGCCTGGAGCTTTCTTTCTTTCTCTTTCATCATTCTCTAACTTCTCTCTTTCATCTTTCATTTTCTTCATCTTTTCTTCCTTCTGTTTTCTTTTTGTTTCTTTCTCCTTTTTTTTTTCGGACTGTCGCCATTCCACTTCAACCTGTTCTGCAGGCGTAGGCCCTGGCTTCACAGTACCTGACCTCATCATCATACGGGAGTTCATACTCTCCCGAAGCCCAGGGGAAAGAAGAGTTTGAAGAGTGGGCCCATCAACACCGAGAGAACCATAATGCCTTGCATGGGGTAGTCGTCCATGATGGGGTGGAACACAGGTACCCCTCCGCTGTCCCACCAGGTAGAGTTCCCCTCTTGTCCTACTTGTCTGCCACGTGGATGGGATATGCTCTGTTTTTTTTTTTTTTAACTCTGGATGTCAATGTCTCAGGAGTGACGATTTTCAGCAAATAAAACTTTAAGTTAATTCCTTTCCCTTTTTCTTACTTTGCTTGTTGTCTGTCTTCAATGTCAATATACCTTGGTTGTACTTGTACTCGTCAGGCCCTGTCCTGTTTCTATTTCTGTTCCTTTTTTCTTTTTCTTTAACTAACGTACTGGTCTTATGCGCAAGACCAAGCTGGAGCTAACACAGTGTCAGATGCACAGGCGATACTTCCTTTGCAAGTCAACTTTGCCTTTGTTCATTTATTGCCTGATGACTTGTGTGCTATCTGACATGGCAATCTGCCTTCATGCCCACAACCTACTCCTACCTTTCCTATCACTTAGCGCAGACGTTAGACCAGATGTCAGGGATGTAGGACCAGATGATGACTCTGACCGGCTATCGACTCTGACTTAACCAGACTTTCGCCCCCTGACCTTAGACTGGACAAGATGTGGACAAATAGCAGCAACAACGACCACCAGAGAGGAGGGGTAGAGAAAGGTACTCGACACAACTCCACACACAACCAGGTAAGGGGTAAGAGTTCTTCTCTTCTTTGCGAACGTCAATGAAGGTTCCTC